TTGAAGTTGGACTTTTCTTTGGGGACTGAAACTACGTCCACTCTGGAAGTGATTCACAGCCATCAGAGACGATAGAAAGTGAAGCAACTATGTTCAAAAATGTGGTAAAAATATGGGCAAACTAGCAACTAGTGGGCAGGACTCAAGATAAACTTTCTCAACTTCAAGGCGACGATCAAAGCGACTACTTATGAGAGTAACGAATGGCTTTGATTTACCTGGTAGTAAACACTTTAGAGGCAATTGGTGTGAAAGGCTTCCAGTCTGAATCTAAAAGTGAAGCTGATTCACACATAGCTCGAAATTCATTCATTCAGTTAGCTGGTGATTTACTGTTAAATCCTGCACAGTAGGTACAAACCGACTCCTTATTACCTTTGTTACAAACTATCTCCAGACTATTTGGACATCTACCAAAATCTGTTCGTACATGAACAATGCTCACAGGGGGTTTATTGTGTGAGTTGTGATTTTTTTATTTGTACGAGGCAAATAGAGAGTCTGGCTTCAGAGCTTTAAATTACTGTTAATTTTTTTTTTTTTGTAGAGCGTGCAAACCACACAGGCTCACTTTCAGTTGGAGGTTTTATGTGATGTCATTGGTGGAGGGAGGTTATTCAAAGATCTAGTGGTGTAAAATTACTGGTTGTCACTTTTTAAGCACCATGAAATCCTCCATAAAAATGCTCAATTTTGCAAGAAGTGGAAGTGTGAGAGCGAGCTGACATAAAAATTCCTTTAAAATCATCTTGTCATTTATTGCCCGTGTGCTTTCACGATACTGAGAAATAAAACATTGGTTTTATTACTTTTTCTTAATTTATTCAATATTTATAAATGTTTCTGACTTTTAGGCTTTGAAGATATATTAAATTAAAATCATATTAAAGTCATAATTACTGCTATTTAATTTTTAACTACCTGAAGAAAATAAAGCATCAAGAGATCAGGTGGCATTTAACTACTTTAATTTTTAAAAACTGCATAAAGATTCAGAAGATGCGCCTGCACTGAATCCTTCTGTGGGTTTTACTGTCTTCATGAGGGGAAAAGCAGTCGAATTACATCTGTGTTCCTCCTCAGACACGCATGTTCATCTTCATGCTGTTTGACAGATTTGCATAATTGTCTTTCTTTGAGAAAATGGTTAAAATTAGCAGCTGCAGGAAGCTTCGGGAGGCTATCGACAGTGTAGGTGAAAGGATGCACGGCAACAACGTCTCTCTCCCTGAATGTTTGGCTAAGGCTGGCTCCATAATAAGCTGCTCAGACTTCATTAAATGTGCGAGTGTGACCAGATTCCTGAGAGAGGCTGGGTGTCACTCGGTTAGACGCACAAACACACAGAGACACACACAGCAGACGTGGCGCTGCTCTTTGCTGCAGCCGCACAGAGAATTGATTGCCTCTGCCTCGCCTGTGCGTGCTTTCTCTGTCGCCGTCTGGTTTTGTTCATTTTCCTCAGCCTTGTTTTGTCTCCCGGTTTCTTTATTGTCGTTCGACTCAGATTCAGCTTCTGCATTTCTCTCCATCTGCAGAGCTTTCATGCCAGTCTCTATTGCTTCACTGCTGTTTCCCCTCCTCGTCTAATGCTGTTTAAATGTTGTATAGTCCAGTGTATCCCTACTTTATCTGTACAGGAAGACCAAGAATGGAAATAAGTAGATTTTATCCTCAATAATTCAGTTAAAACGATTATCTGACTTCTTTGTTTTTCCAGTCTCCTTGTTTCTGTTTGCATGCTGCTATTTGAATATTCAGACGCTCATTTGGGAAGAGTTTCTTTTAAAGAGACAGTCGAGATTTTATTCAAATCTCATACAGGCGCTAGCACACACTAAGTTGTGGATACTTGTGGATAAAAATGTAGCTAGAATGTGGATACATTTACATTTCATTATACTCTGTTATACAGAATATGTAACAATTCTTTTGTGATAGTCTGTATACAAAAAGATCAAGTACCCACTGTGACTTGACCTGTTTGTCATTGTCATTCTGGTTCTTCTGGAGCCAGTAGTGACCATATTTGGACACGAGGGGGAAGTACGAAGATATATAATTGGTTAGCAAGGTGCACCAATAAGACTGTACAGATACCTGCTAATTAATGCTGAGCAGATGCATAGAAATGAATAACAAGGGTGTGTTTGCAAGAGTCAACCAGACAGTAAAGATGACATTAGAAATGCCCCAAAAGGTGACAAGTAGACATAGTAGAGACTTAAATAAATTAGTTAAGGTAAAGATTAGTGGGAGCTTAGTGGTTAATTAGCTAAGGTGAAGTCCAGTGGTAAATGAGCTGAGCTAAACCTTTAACGTAAAACTGTTAAGCCTCAACTTTAAGTGTTAATATAGTTTAAACAAGTGATTTAAAGTTAAACAAGTGGGTTAATCGTTCAGGCTGTAAACATGCTTCTTTACCCTCTAACTTTAACATGGGAGCCTATATGGATTGACTCAAGTTGAAATGAAAGATTTATCCAGTTCTGGTTAGTCTGATATCATCTAGAACATTATTCACGGCAAACATGATGCTAAGTTCCATATGCCATCTGCACGATACAGATTGAATCTGGCTGACTCTGATCTCGTTTAAACGCTGCTGCTTTTTTCCTTCCTCAAGGTGATGCAGCACCCCAGCGAGGGCGCCCAGATCCTGGGGCTGCACAGCCAGGTGAAGGATGCCTCAGTGCCCGTCGCTGAGATCAGAGTCTACTCCCTGTCGAGTCAGCCCATCGATCACGAGGGACCTAAAGCAAAGATGTCTGGTGCGCACATCATCTCCCCGAATCTATCTTTCTCTCTAATAGTCTGTGTCTGCCCTCCTCCTGTCAGTTTGCTCCCATTCCTCAGTGGCGTCTCTTTTTCTGCGTCTCCCTAGATCGTTCTCCAGACATCGACAACTACTCTGAAGAAGAGGAGGAGAGCTACTCGTCAGAGCAGGAAGGCAGCGATGACCCCATTCATGGACAGGTGTGTTGAGATGAGGACAACAATCACTTCATGGTTAATCTTGCAGTCACTCTGCTTGCTTTGGAAAACATTTAATGCCATCACATTTGACCTAATATGGTTTCTACACTTTTTTTGTTGTTGTTGTTTTAATTAAATATTAATGCCTCCCCCCATTTTTAAGTTGTTTTACATCATGGAAACGGCTGCTGAAACTATGTGAGCAGCACAGATCATAAATAATTTATATTTACAGCTTTACAAAGAATGAAAACATCTAAAAATCAAAAACCCAGCACTCACATTTGAACCAATACCATAATTCCCACTGATTTTCACGTCTACAAATAAATATTTTTGTATAAACAGACACAGGAATGACAGAAAAAGCGAGTCGTCCAGATTTGGTCAAACCGACGGGGTTATTGGGTTTTCCCCAGGAGCATCAGTTCACAGTGACACTGGTGTGATGATCAGCAGAGCACTGGTGCTTTCTTTATTATGTTACCTTCTTTCTGAGATTACGAGAGAGAAGACGGTGGGTCTCGGGGGGACGTAAGGGGAATTGGCGCCCATCGGTGCGAGAGATTGAAAGGAGCAAAAGGACAGCATGGAGAGATAAGAAAAGAGCAATGAGGCTTTTGGGAGCCAGATTGAAAAGGCAGAAGGGAGAGACGGAGGGAATCCGAGCGCCAAGAGGGAGGATAAACAGAGCGCAGGGCGTTACGGTAGAGAGGTGAAGAATTAACTTCAATACTGAAGCAGGAATCGGGTCAGAGCTGGGTTTCTTGTTTTCATGGTTTTTGTGTGTTTTGATGATAATATAACAAAGAGCAAGTTAAGTTGAGTTTTGAGGGACATTTCAACACTCTTAAATGAGAGACAGATGGGGGGGAATAAACACAAGCTGTTGTTTTAATTGATTTTAATTGAACGTCAGGCTCGGCCAAGTTAGCCACATCTATTCTGCTCTACTTGTCACCTGGCAACACGGCGAGCCAGCGTTGCCAGATTTCCAGATTTGCGCACTGACTTTGGTTTGTGCATTAATGACATTAAAGGATTGTGATATTATATTATGAAAAATTCTCCTGAAGAAACTACATTTCAGATAAATACTGACCATGCATGAATATAGCGCCCGATTATCTGTATTGGCTAATATCAGCCTTGTTTCCTGATATCGGTCTATTGAAAAATAAGAATACATTTAGTGACCTACTGATTAAGTTATTAGAGCTGCACCTAAGGTTTAAGTCACAGTATTAGTAATTACAGAAACCTAAAAACTGATTTTGACAGTAATTAAACCGCCAGGATGTGCAAGCTCTTTAATCAAAATGATGTTTTTAATACTAAAACATAATTATTTCTGTTATCCGTGAATTTTTTTAATATACTGTTTTAGAAAAAAGCAGAAAAAGCTGGAAAGCACATTATTACTTTTTGATGAAGATGCATAATTATAGTTATTTACTCCGGAACAGAAAATTTGGTTTTAAGTGATTTAGCATCATGAGGTCCAGTGTGTCGGCCCAAATTTGGTTATAAAAGAATTTTTGACAGATTTCTAAATTATGTGTGTGTTTCCTTGTTTTTATGACAAGCAATCTGATAAATTTAAGCGTCTTTCAGTTTTTCACTTCAAGGAGTGTTTAAAAACGAAGAGCAAAAAAGAATAAACCATGTCTAAAAATAAGTAAATGCATTTGTATTGAACATTTCTTTGTTTCGCTGGCACAAATGGAGGAACGACAACCAAAAAACACAAAATAAAGAGAAACAGTGGTTTTGGCTTCAGCTGAGTTATCTTCATTCAGCCAGCAGCTGAATGAAAAAAACAATGTATCCATGTTACCAAGAGCAACAGTGTAACCACGCAGACAAATTGTGTCGCTAAGACTCATTATTAGTTTTTATTTTCTCATAGCTGGAGTTGGTGACCTTGAACTATCCTTTAAAACACCACTTGCTGTCCTCGTCTTCCTCTCATTCGTGTTTCTCTCACTTTTTCCTTCTCAGTATCTGTTTGATGAAGACGAGGAGGTGAGGAAGAAGAAGCCGAGGCGTAAGCTGCCTTCCAACGCTGGTATCACCAGGGTAAGGAGAAGAAAAGCCCCCTCCCTGATCTCCCCCTTCATCCTCCCTCTCTTTTATACTCGTTTTTCTGCCTACCTGCTTATTTTGTCCGTGAAGCACTTTTGCAGCAAACCCGCTTCGTGCGACGGCCGTTTCAGATAAATTTGATTTGAATGGACTCAACAACCCTCCCTCCTCCTGCGCAGCCTCTCGCCTCACCTCATTCAACCTCTCCTCCTTATCTGCTCGCCCCCTCCCTCCCCTCCCACTCCTGTCTCTCTGTCTCGGCCTGGCTCGCTCCCGTGTTGGTTTATCTGCAAATCCATTTTCTCCCGCTCATTCACACAATCAGACCGATTTTAACCTGAGGTTGCACGGACACACGTTCGCACAAAAACTGTACATAAAGGCTCAGCAGGAGGCACAGATTACAACACAATTTTAATTTTTTTAAATCACCCTGGAAAAAATGAAGGTAGAGCTGCAGCTTAGCAGAAGAAAGACAGCATTTGGTATGTGCGTGCTTGTGTTTGTCTAAGGAGGCTGTTATTGCAGCACCTCTGTAGATTCTATAGAACACACGCGCACGCATGCACACACTAACCACCTGCACTGCTACACACACATTAAATATGTACTCGCTCTTAAAAGCCCCTACAGCAGACCCTGCACCCTGTGCGTCCCCAGGAGGTCCGACATGAAGCCGACCCTCTCCACTGCGTAGCAGCAAATTGCGACAAATCCTCCAAAACACTCTCACTCTCCACAGCCACTCAGACACCCACTTGTTTTGCAGATGAAAGCTTTGCTTTGTACTTTTTTTTCCCTCATTTTTTTTTACATCCAAACTGACTTTTTCTTCCTTTCTTTTTTTGTTTTGTTTCTGGGTTGTTGTTTTTTTTTTTAAACCAAAAACAACGCTGAGAATTTTATTTTAACGTTTGGCCTGAAGTAGATTCCCACGCATGTGAAGATTGTTGGATTTCCACTATTTTTTTTAAAAAAGAAAAACATGCCGTGTCCCAAAGATGGCTTCAGGTAGAATAATCTTCATATTTAAACAGTGAACTGAAGTGTTTGCATGGACAGTTGTGTGTTTATGAGTTGGCTGTATTTGCTGCTTGACTTTGTGCATTAAAATTAATGTCACAGAATAAGAGGATGATGCCAAGCGTTTGAAACTATGCCTTTTGTTCATTATCTGTATTTTTCATGTCCAATCAGGACATCTAAGTCATGAGTTATAAAACACAGCGGACAATAATAGAGGTCCTGCCTTTGTAAATACAGTTGGGAAATAATCACATTGACTAATTTAAATTTAGATCACTGTCATAGGATCAAAGTCAATTTTTTGGAAAGTACATTTAGTAAATTGCTTTCTAGATTAAATATTCATGCAGAATAATCTGTTTTTGACTGATCCAGGTAATTACATACCCGAAAAATCATAGTGTTTATTAGATTCATGCAGAATTATGTAAGAATCCAGTAAAGCCACAAATCACTGATGCACATTAACAAATAGATGAACACAGAGATACCGAAAGGACAAACGTTAGTCACAGGGAGCTGCAGCTACGCCTCTGTTGGCATCCACCTGTCTGACAAACAGCTAAGACTTGTTGCTGCTTAATATTTCAGTGGGTGAGTCATACAACTGTGAACATCGATGTTAGGGGGAAAAAATGTGCTGCTGAAATCAAAACAGGTTTTGGACTGGGCTGTAAGCACGTTCTGCAGGTGATGTTGATCATTTGGATATGAAAGTCTGTGTGTGATTTGCTTCTAGAAGCATCCTCGAGTGGTGATTGGAGGAACTGCAGAAGCTGCTATGGTGGTTGCTGCTCGCTACCTTATAAACTTATTACTGCTACAGTGTTCTACTATTACAGCTTAGAGGTGAATGGGCAGTTTGTAGGGCCACACAGTGAATGTTGTTAGTGACATTTGGCAAAATAACTGACAGCTAACAGGTGGGTGGGTACGTCCAGAGTTAAGGGGTATTCACACAGTGACTGGCGGCACCATGGCAACCAGTCCCCATAGAAATCCATGACTTCAAATAACCATGGGGGAAATGATCGCTGGCAGTACATAGTGGGTGGGTCTTGAGTTTTACTTTTCTGACGGTTGAAGTGAGCAATTAAAGTGTAAACGCAGGATACCATTGATTGACATGTGACAGTAAATACATTAGAGCACTGGTGTCAAACCTCCCCCATGGCCATTCATACTAGACCATGTGATTTTTGTTTAGCTGAACCTTTTGTATACTCTTATACATTTATGTCTGAAATGAATGTGTTATTTGTGAATACATTGTATTTAGTTGCTTTAGCTTTACTGCAACATTGAAAAAAAACATATTGCAGTTATTTTGTGTCAACAGAGCAATTGCAACAATGTCACCAGCTGCTTGGAGCTTACTACATTATCATTTAAAGCAACAGTGGCGTTATGTGATGTGTTTGTAGAGTATGAGCCAGAGGCTGATACAAGAGACCAGGTGGCTCAATAAATTATAACATTTCTCTGCAACTGCTGCGTGTGCAAACTAGTTAGTAAGCATATCAATCACCTATGAGGCTGTCAAATGGTTATTACAGGGGAAAAAAAAATCTAGTGTTTTAGAAATAGTCTTGGATTTAGTTTTTGAGGTAAAAATAACTTGTGCATTTGAAGATCCGCTGCCTTTTTGCAGGATAATCACGTCTGGCTCACAAATGTCACGCACGAAAAAATTTAATTGAATTTTGAGCTGCCGAGTCGGACAGATGTCGCACGTTTCAAGAAAAACTCCAGACTCGCGTTCAATAAATGTTACGTCTTCCTTTTTCAGATCACTTTTTGAATAAGATAATCAGTCCTTTGCAATTATTCAGGAAACGCATCTCGTGTTGGGAAGCGTCGACTTGGATAACCTCGGTAACGGGCCCGCTCTCACATATTCCAGTTTAATAACACGAGACACATTTTTCCTTTGCTGCATCCATTAGCTGCTGCTGTTTTGACTCATCAGGCGTGAAAAGTGCGTGGAGATTGCCTCCTGTCGGTTTTCCCTAGGCTATCGTGTTCTCCCCCCACACACACATGCACACACACCGATATGAACATCTATCTCCGAGCTTCACGTTGTGCCTTTTTTTCCATTTTCTCTCTCACAGCAACCCAACATCAAACAGAAGTTTGTCGCCTTGCTGAAAAGGTTTAAAGTCACAGATGAGGTGGGTGCTCATTTCTCCGTTGTTTTTCTCTCTTCTATTCCCCTCCCCTCTCCGTGGCTCTCCTTCCTTCCTGATCACTTATATCACACGTCCACACTTCGGCTTTATGTGCAAGGTTCAGAGTGTGCGCTTGCCAGGTTGCTGGGAGTCGACGTGTATTTCAGTTGAGCTTTGAAGACACACGGAGATGTGTGGGAGAGATGTGGCAGAACAACTGAGATTCAGCTGGCAGCTCACAACGACATTGTAATTTAAAATAGAACAAAGATGTTTGTGTGTGTGTGTGTTTGTGTGCTTCTGTCAAGCAAAATATGTGTGTGCTGTCTCAAAGTGGGTGCGTGTGTGTTACAATCTATTAAAATTTCATTGCCTTCCCTCTGTGTCTTTACAAATCGAATTTTGTTCGTCTGTGTTTGCGTCCGCTGCTTGCTCGTGTCGCTTTTCAAAATTGCAAATTGGAATATTGCTATTTTATTTGTATAAGCGTGTACGGCATATTGATTTTGTTTGATTTCATACAGTTGGATTGTTTGCGTAGTTTTGTGTCTGCACACCACCACAGAGGCGTTTCAGATTTGGTATTAACGTGCAGATTTTCAGCTTTAAGTCGAGGGTTTTTTAAAATTAATTGGATAACTCGCTGCACAGCAGTCAGATGATGCCCATCCATTCATTATTCAATGACAAATTAAGAGGATAAAAGATCTGGAGTTAATTAAACTTGTATTTGGTAGCTTTTCACTGGGATTTTAAATATGAGGCCCAAGAGATGTCGGTGCAAGTGAAGTATGCCGTCATTAAGCCTGCAAATCTCAGGAAACCTGTCACAGAAAGAGCAAAAACTTCAGTAGCGAAAGGAATCAACAGTCTGGTGCATTGTTAGAAAGAATGAATGCACTCAGCAGCTCAGCTACACTAAAAAGCCTAAAAGAGCACAGAAGACGGCCAAAGTGCACGATGAAAGAGTTATTTCCATGGTTAAAAGAACAGCTTCACAGCATTTAACCATGTGATGAACACTCTTGAGGAGGCGGCTGTCTAAGGGAGAAACTCTTGATGAATGTAAATACAGAGATTTTACAACAGGGTGAAAACCATCAGCACTTTCACTTAAGTCACATCAGACTTGGACTGAAAACAACTATAAGAGCACCCACAGTTCTGGAGAGTTTTTTGTGGACGGATGAAACTAAGATGAAAATGTAGCAGAATGATGGGAAGAGAAGCATAGTGGCAGCAGTGTTAGGGCGAGGGCATGTATGGCTGCCAGTGGAACTGGGTCAGTAGTGTTTGTTAATGATGTGACTGCAGATGCAAGCAGCAGGATGAACTGTGAAGTGCACAGGGCTGTACTTTCTGCTCAGATTCAGTCATATGCTGCAGAACTGGTCACACAGTGCTTCATAGTGCAAATAATGACCCAAAGCAAACTGCAAAAGCAACTCAAGAGATTCTTAAAGCAAATAAATGTGATTTTCTTCAAGTCAGTCACCTAATCTCAACTCAGCGGAGCAGATTTTTGGCTACTGAAGGCAGAGACCCACAAAAAAGCAGCGGCTGCATTAAAGGTCTAACAAAGCATCCCAAGTGAGGAAACAGCATTTGCTGACGTCCATAAGCTCTACACTTCAGCCTTGTAGACTTGTGTTCAGTTAATTCAGAGCATCTGAAAACAGGAGACTGGTCATAAAAATGTCTGTAATTCCTGAACATTGAATGCAACACTTTCTTTAATTAAAGCTGGTTTAAGATCTGCTGTAATGGTGTGCAGAGGCAAATCTTACAGACCTAACCGTGTGTTAGCCTGAACATGTGACTTCTTTTATTTTAATTACTCAGATCACTATTATTATAAAATCTTCCATGTGTATTGCTGTGACCAGTATTGCAGAAAATCTACTTCTGCTTTATTCATGTGATTACAAACATTGCTGATCCTAGCAAAACTCTTTCTGCTACTTTTTAAGTACCACAAAGGCGGTTTGATATTTGTTGTTTATGTCTGTTTGTGTACAGATTTTGTTACTGGGAAAACATCACAGCCGCACAAGACAGAGTTATAAAATTTTAGGTGTTTAGTTGAGATTGAAACAAAAGTGGAGTTCAAAGGTGGGTCTTGTTCAGTCTGTGTGATCTAATCTGATGAGGGCCTCTGGTCAAATCTGACCTGATTTATTTAATGATGGTTTGGTAGAAGTGACGCTCCATGCACTGCAAACTGGTTATGGAAGCTGAGGATTGGATTGCCCTCCACACTGATCACCGCTCAATCCAATAAGCAGCAAACCCTACGGACCAATGTAGCCTTTTCAGGTCAAGGCCCCGTGGGCTAAAGGAGTCAGTTTAGGTGGTCCTGATTAGGATACTTCCTGGACGTCACCTAAAAGAGGTGTTTCAACCATGTCCTACCGAGAGAAGGCTGCCAGGAGACTAGCTGGAAAGATTATAACTCTGGGCTCTCTTGAGAAACACTCAGTCCCCCACTGCCCCAGACTGCTGTCCCTGTGACCCAAACTCAGATAAGGAGCAGAGGATAGTTGGATTCTTATAGATTCAGCCATAAGTTTAATTATTAACTGTCTGGAAACTCATTGCTGCAATAGAAATCTAATTTTACCCCAGCTTATACTTGTTGAACAACAAACAAGATGATTTTTACAATAGAATCACATCTGACTCGATAGTAAAGAGTTCTCAGACAAAAGCCGTCTCTCGGTTATTCCTCTGATGATGCACCATCAGTCCACGTGTACTAAAGGCAGTAAGCGTTTGACCTTATTTGACCAGCTGCCTAATAACTAAATCAATCCCCTCGACAAACAATAACACTACAAAGGGCCTGACGCCTCACCTGTCATTTGACCCATAAAAAGACCATCAACTTTTTTAAAAAACGTCACCATAGCAGCAGCGGGGACAGCTTCAGAGAATGCACATCAATCTGAAACACTCAGGACCTCCTGCAGGTTAAAAACACAATGTATTTCAACAAATATTACAAAAGTGCAGCTTGTGATTGAACTGATAGATCAGTAGTGTTTTACACAAATTCCCAGTACCAGCGACTGTAATGATATTGTTTACAGCGCTGGTGTTTTTCCTTAAGGAAATATCCTGCCGTCCAAGTCTGCTTTCATTGAGATGCCAGCCACGTGTGTGCCTATGACACAATCACAATGAAAAGTCTGTCCACAGACATATAAACACCTGTTGGAGTACTTTGAGGTGGTTGCTTCTAATGAATGCGTCTCCACCTTGTTTTTTTCCCCCCTCAGTGATCTCACACATATGCGCACACGCACGCACACAGGCAGATAGTGTTACATTATGAAAGGAGAACCAGCTATGCTATCACATCAGATAACAATACAAATGATTATCCATTGTGTGTGGTTTACTGGCTCCTGAGTGCGCTTTAAATCGTAAAGACGTGACGTCTCTGTTCCCACGCTGAAGTGAACATTTTTGGAGTTGAGTGCTTCGAGTGCTGGTCCAAATACAAACTCATGTTATTTCTGTTTATCCCTGCTTGTATTGCTTATGATTACATGCATGAATACTTACCTTTTAAGTCCAAATCACTGCTATAACTGGGCTCCCTGTTTAGGAGTTTGTGGCTGAGCTGCCTGACTCGCTCTGATGTTAGCCAGGTCACTGTGGCATGTAAGCATCTCGCGTCTTTCACTTTTGATATTCAGCTTCTGTGAAATTGCGGGCTTGCAAAGCCCCGTGGTGTCAACAGAGAAACGGGCAGTGATCCGTGTCGGGTTTCACAGCTGGTATCAACACGTCTGTCCCCTGTACACACAGAGATTAGTGCTCATTTAAAGGAAGGGAGGCTGTCGTTGTGCTTTTTATAGCTTCTGTTTGTGTGAAGAGAAGTGACAGATTCAGGTGATAAACAGAAACTCTAGGTGTTAAAGTTGCACAGCGACCGTGTGTCTTGGTCACCCTCTCCTCCGTGCGTCGCTCCCAGGTTGGTTTTGGCCTGGAGCACGTGTCCAGGGAGCAGATCCAGGAGGTGGAGGAGGACCTGGACGAGCTGTACGACAGCCTGGAGATGTACAACCCGAGCGACAGCGGGCCGGAGCTGGACGAGACAGACAGCATCCTGAGCACGCCCAAACCTAAGCTGAGGTACGAGCACAGGCACAGGCGCGACATTAATATTCACCCCCACACTCCCGCTTCACCTGCACAGACACTGACGAGCACACCAAGAGGACTTTCATTAACAATTCAGAGCCCCCTCTGTTGGGCGAAGCTGCTCATTACAGCCGCAGATTAAAAGCTTGGCATGAGCCAAAACTGGGTCAGTTTTAACTTTGATCAGAACTTTTGAATAATAATAATTTTGCTCAAAAATTCTTCTTTGCATACTTTAACAACACAGAATCGCTGCCCAGTCTGAGTCATTATTTTCAATAACATCAGAAAGCCTCAGAGTGACCCAGAAGTCTTACCGGTATTACTTGACTTTCTTCTGTTCTGCTCTTTCTTTCTGTCTATCATTAAAAAATAAATGTGTGTTATGTAAGTATCTGAATAAAAAGTTAATGTGCGTGTGTTTGCTCAGGCCGTTCTTTGAGGGAATGTCTCAGTCAAGCTCTCAGACGGAGATCGGCAGCCTGAACAGCAAAGGCAGTTTGGGCAGAGACACGTTCAGTCCGGTGAGTAACTCACTGAAACCTGTTAGAGCGCAGTGAATCTTAACTCTTCACAAAGGATATCTAACTTTACAACCGGAAAGCTTTCAAACCTGTGTCCAAATGCAGCGCTCGCCTCGTTGGTGTAAAGTGATTCAGCTTGTGTGTGGTGACATGTGAAGCTGTGAGACCTGTGTCCGTCTCAGCAAAAACTCAAGAGTATTTGTATTTTCTCTACATTGGTAAAATGGGCCTGCATTTAAGCGCTTTACACTACATTCAGTCATTCACCCATTCGCACACTGGCAATGGCAAGCTACATTGTAGCCACAGCTGCCCTGGGGTGCACTAACAGAGGCGAGGCTGCCGGACACTGGCACCACTGGGCCAGGAGGCAGCCTGGGATCGAACCACCGACCTTCTGGTTAGTGGCTGACCTGCTCTGCCACCTGATCTACAGCCACCCCCGTCACCCCATTGACGTTACCTTATGGGAAAAAACTTGATACACAATTTAATTTAGTAGTGTTGGATATACGGTACTGTGCACAAGTCTTGAGCCATCCCTTTGTAGGCTCTACTACTATTGTTACAACTAAAACACATAATTTGCTGAAAACTTATCTCAGCATGCTGTGCAGTCTGTCCTTAAATATGCTTGTTCATATTTCAATAAATTGCTGCACATTCCTCATTTTATTAGCCAAACATAAAGAACTTAGGGTTGGCTCAAGATTTCTTGTGAATACTATAACTTCTATTTCTCTCTTCTATTTCTTGGGCCCTTAAGAAGTCATAGTAAAAGTACACAAGAAGCTGAGCGATACGGCATTAACCTAAGATTGCAAAATGCTTCTAGTGGCAGGATAGCAAAACAATAAAGCTGTAGTAAAACAGTGTGACTAAGTAGCACACAGTACCATAAAGTATGTGAAGAATGCAGCATGAAATGAAGCAAGAAGCATGAAAAACAGCATGCGACTCTGCATTGATGTGCTAAATATCCAGAATCTAAAGCCGGTGACAGTCAGCACGGCGGGGGAGCGCAGTGGAAATGTGAAATTTGAAAAATGTTTCACACTAACATTTCCTTAATGGAGCAGAAATTCAATAAGTCTTTGACGGTGACCAGCTAGTGAATAAAAAGTGTTTAGTCTCTCTCAGTTTGAATGGATGGCACTGGATGTGCTTCAGGCAGCTCCAGTTCCTCCCTTCATAATGAAATAAGCTTTTAGGTTCTGACTGCTGTTGGGACACTTTCTCAAATATGTGTTTGGAAGATGAAGAAGCTGCTTTCACTTTAGTAAGTAGGTCCTATCTAATTATTTGTGTAGAATGCTTTGTCTGGCCTAAAACGGCAGACGAAAACCAACATCTTCTGGGCGTAACTGCTGTTGTGTTTTCTCCCTGAAGCCGAGAGCCGAGAGCTCTGCTCCTTCTTGTTTACCAAATCTCGAGGCTCATTAAGCCCGTAGACTGACTGCTTCTCCCTTCTGTTCCCAGCAGGGGGAGCAGCCTCTTCTGGAGAAGATGAAACCTTCCCGAAGCCGCAACCTGGATGAGATCCCGTCTGAGACCGACACGCTGGTACGACTTTCCTCGTGTGTTATGAGTGTCAGTGTGTCAAAGAGGGAGAGTTAATGTTGTGCTGGGATCTTTGTCGGTATCACTGTGAGGCGGATTCGCTGCCATCTGTGCTGCAAGCGAGACAGATTGAGAGAGCAGAAGAAACACAAAAAAGTGGGTGCCAGTATCTCCTTTCTTTGACACTGACAGCCTGTCTGTGGACTGTGTGTGTCTGTTTGTGTGTAGGAGCTAACAGACCAGGAGCTGTTCGCTGAAGTCGGCCCGTGCATCATGGTGTCCGTGGCAGAAAAACCCCGTACACCCATTAAGAGCAGCAAAAGTGAAGCACAGCCGATGGCATCGCCGAGGTAAGTCACCCAAGGCTTAGTCCCAGATACATTTGTTTTGCTGTTTTAATCCGTGCGTTGGCCTCTTTACTAATCAGCTCAATTTTAGCACGAGTAATGACCCCTGCCATCTTGTTTTTTAGAGCCAGAATAAATATATGTTTGGACAGAAAGGTGAAAGGTTAAGTGATCAGCAGAGTTAGTGCCAGATTGGATCCCCCAAGTTTGCCAGGAGGGCATTTAGTTTACAAAAAAAATGTAATGTACGCAAAAGACAATCATATATCATTATAACTATACACTGGATCTGCTTTGAAAGCTACGAATTCAAGCATTAACCCCTTCCTTTAATGAACATGCTTACAAACCCTGTGCTTGGTAAATTCTGAGGGCAACTCAGGATCTCTAAGTAAAGCTTATAAAATGAAAGGAAAAATGAGGCCTCAGAGGCGACTATGCTGAAAAATCCTGAACTTCTTATTTCTTGAGTTTGACTTTGTTTTTTTCTTTTTTCCTTTCTTCCCCACCAGGTTGGATGGAGGCCATACACCAAGGCAGAAGCGCATTAGCACTCCGATGAAGGAGAGACAGCTGTCCAAACCTCTCAGTGAGCGGACCAACAGCTCAGACTCTGAGAGGTCCCCGGAGCTGGGACACAGCACGCCGGTACGACACTGAACATTTATAAAATCTCATTTCGATTTAGCTCTTTCCAGGATTTCAGCATCATCGTTTCAACCATGTATACAAAAATAAACCTGCGTATTGTGGTTGTTTCCCACAGAGGAATTAACATAAGACCAAAAAAATCTTCCTTTGTTCTCCGTCTGCTTATGACCCACGCGTTTTTAAAAAAAATAAAACACATGAATTCTGATAATGTACGACCGGCCTGGAGCTCAGAAATGAATTATGTATGTGGTGATGAGTCATCTGAAGAGCAAATGTGTCGCTGTGGGGAGATTTATGTACTCTGTGTGTGTGTGTGTGTGTGTGTGTGTGTGTGTGTGTG